TCCCTGCCCGTGGCAGGGGGGTTGGAACGAGATGATCTTTAGGGTCCCTTCCAACCCAAACCATTCTGTGATTCTACGATTCAATGTATTCAGAGCAGACCAGTGGTAAAGTATTTGGGGATACTGGTGGGTGAAAAATTGGACTTGAGCTGTCAGTGTGCACTTGGAATTGTGTGCTAGGTTGCATAAACATGACCAGCAGGTTGATGGACACGATTCTCTCTGCTCTTGTGAGAGTCCAGCTGCAGTACTGAGTACAGCTCTGGGATCCCAGCACAAGAAAGACATGGACCTCTTAGAAAAGGTCCAGAGGAAGCCACAAAAATCAGAGGGCTGAAATACCTCTTCTATGAAGAAAAGTTGAGAGAGTTGCAGTTTTGCAGACTGGTGAAGACAACTCACCAGGGAGACATTAATGCGGTATTTTAACGGTGTAAGATGAGTTGTAAGAAAAATGGAGAAAGATTTTTTACTAGGGTCTGTAGTGAAAAGAGTGATGGCAATGGTTTACAACTAAAAAAGTTATACTGGATGTAAAAACGAAATATTTTTGATGAGGGTGATGAGACACCAGAATAGGTAGCTCAAAGAAGTTGTGGTTACCCCAGTCACTGGAAGCATTCAAGGCCATGTGGACAACAAGGCTTTGGACAACTTGATCTAGTGAAATATATCCTGCCCATGGTAGGGGGATTGATATAGATTATCTTTGACAGTAACTTCCAACCCAAAGCATTCTGTAATCCTATGAATCTTTCATTATATGATTCTATTAAGATGGAAACTATAGATTTATGAGGATTGTAATATGATCAGGAGTGGCCTGTTCATAGGGAAAATAAACTTCTTTTTGCCACTATTGCTCAACTATGAAGTCTATTTCCTGAAACTGGGATCCAACTAGAACAGCCAAGCAAAATAAATGTAATCACAATGTTGTTTTTATTGCTGCCAGTGCACTGCCTGTTTCCTGGCTTTGTTTTTTGGGGGGATTTTATCGAGTGAGTCTTTTTTCTTTTTCAGGGTAGGTTTGGGTTTCTTTTTTTTTTTTTCTTTTCCCGAGTAACAGCTTTTTTCAGATGAGAGTAATACTCTCTTTAGGGTCCTTGATCTGGGTAAGGATATTGTCAGCTCCCTGAATTCAGAAAAGTTGAGAGGATATAATGCCTGCCTGTCTCCCCTGCACCTGGAATGGGTAAATGAAAATTTGTGTAACCCTGAAGCTGTGGTTAAATGGGTAAATGTAGTGTTAAGTGAACAAAAGTTATGAAAGGGAAAAGGTAATGCAGTTCTATGAGCAATTTTGGGAGTGGCTTTAATCGCTGCCCAAAATGAGAAATATGCCAACAAACGGGCAGAGGGAGAAATGATCGGACCTCTGCAGCGTTTGGGGAAAAGATTGCAGGATCAGTTAAATGAGGAGAGAGAAAGCCACCTTTGGGAGAAAGAGTTGCTTCCTGCTGGGAACAATCAGTAAAAAGAAAAGAGGCTGCAGGCAGAGGAGCTACTTGCTGCTGAGCAGAGTCATGAGAGGGAGAGAATGCTGCAGGCAGAGGCATTGCTTGTGGCAACCTCAGGAGAAGCTTGAGGATGTGGGGAGAGGGAAAATCTTACCAGGGGAATTGCAGGGTTTAAAGTTTGAATCATTTGCAGAAACACCCTCTTGTAACTGTAACTTTTTGTATCCAATTAAGGAGTTGGAAGACTGTAAAGCGGTCTATGATCCTGACAAAAAGGCATAATATTTGCACAGTCTTCTGATGATGAGGAAGTAACATTACAACCCCCAACCAAAACTGAACACACAGGTGATGGTCAGCAAATTGCTACTAAAGTGCTGCTGTATATGGAATACCAAAGATATCAAAGATATCAGAGTTGCAGGAAAAATATAGCAGACTTTCACAAGATGGAAACATATGGGTGATCCAGACAACAGAGAACTAGGGAATGATGATTCCTTATGTCCTTCAGCTCCCCTTGGATCTACTACACCTTGCAGTGAAGCAGGAAATCACACAAGAAAAACGACCCCATTCAATCCAATTCAGGTGGCTGATTTGCAAGAGAATTATGTCCATAAATGAGGAAATATTAAAATCCAGCAAGTGGTATCCTATCAATGTATACATAATAATTCTAATTCCAGTTAGTTCTCATCAGCAGTTAATTAAATTTCTAATAGATACAGGAGCACATTCAATACTGACAGAGCTGGATGCCAAGGAGCTGGTTGTACAACCCACGTGGCAAAGACTGGATTAAACGGAGCAAATGTTATCTGACAAGATGCTAAGATTAATATATGGCTCCTGGGTAAGAAGCAGATGTCAACTACTCACTTTGCAGTTGAAGTCCATATTGCAAACTTTTTGTGTTTCAACGTTCTCAACAATGGAAGGCAGTTGTGTGTGTGTTGAACATTAACCTTGAAAGAAACCCAGAGACATCTGTGTGCTCACTTAACATGATGCCTGAACTCCCTGATTCAAGGACTGCTGGTGTACCACAGTGCTGGACTTTTGCTGAAGTTCTAATTGATTTGACCCCACTATATCAGCACTGGTGCCCAACACTGCAGACCCCACAGCCACAATGCAAGCAGCTGCCATCTTGGGCATTGGTTAGGTGGTGACAGATTTGGAGAAAAGAGCTATGATCACTCACATGCCCCTTCCAATTCTCATGTCTGGTTCAGTGAAAGAGCCAAAGAGACAGACGTGGCTTACTGTTTACTGCAGGTAACTGAATGTCAACACTGCACCTTTAAGTACTGCTGTGCTGGATTTTGTGCAATTGGTAACTCAAATTCAGAGAGTGTCCCACTAGTGGAGGGCAACTCTAATTGCAGGAGACCCCTTCCCTGCCCCCCCCCCCCAAAAAAAGGTGGGAGAAGAAGCAGCAGCAGGGTAGCAAGTACTTAATTAAGTAGAAGCTGAGATTCACCTGAGAAATATTAAGGTCAAACTGGTCCTGGCGGACTAAAGAGGTCTTTACTATTCAACTCAAGTGCATTTCAAGAGACAGAACAGAGATATTCTGAGTGGGAAAAAGGACTTTTGTCATTACTCCAAGCTGTTAAACAGTTTGAGCCACCAAGGGGTAACCTGTCTGGACAAACCCCACCAAGACTTGTGTTGTTTTGTCTTTCCAGAAATGATACCAGCACACCCTCACTGAAGATCAAGTTAACCAACCATCAGAGGACAGCTTGTCGTTCTTGCAGGAGCAACCATTGCCAGCACAAACTAAATTTGGTTTGCACATCAACAAGCTCGATCCACAGGGTGGAGACCCCTCCCTTCTTTTATTTATGCTAATCAATGTGGTAACTATAGCATATTCTGCACCACACATGCTTCTCAGTTGTGGATGCAATTTACTGTGACATTAACTATTAAAGAAGGAGAGGAAAGCAATTTGCCCACTTAAATTCAAAAGGTATCCTGGGATAATGCAATTAAATTGGAAAGGGAATTCCACTCTTGGGGGTAACTAGTTTATTTCCCTTATGACCCCACCAACAGTAAAGCCACAGATTTTGTTTTAACAGCACATAATGCTTTGATATTTACTATATACCCAGTCATTTTGTCAGTAAATCATAACATAGCTGTACTCTATATCCTGGAGCACAGAGTCATACCCGTGCTCTGGTGGAATGGATGTGCCTCTATGAGAACCCCTTGTGATTTTGTACTTGTAGACAACCTTATTGTAGCTACAAGTAATGACTCTTATACTTGTGTCTGTTACTTTGTTGAAATTATGGATGTAGTTTTTGTTATTCAGCTGTTTTTTGGTTTTTTCTTTCTTTCTTTTTCTTTCTCTTTCTTTCTCTTTCTTTCTCTCTTTCTCTCTTTCTTTCTTTCTTTATTTTTTCTCTGTTTAACTAATTTCTTTTTTTTCCCTCTTCCTTTTCTTCTTCAGTTCCCACTCCAAATCCATAGGGTTAAAAAAACCAGTTTCAGTAAAATAAAAATATATGGAATCTAAACCCAAGAACACTAAAGCTCACATACCTTTTACACCAAGAAGGCTCTGAGGTACATGTCTTTGTTCCTGTAGCTGGGTTCAAATACAGTCATACCTGGGCTGGTAGAGTTTTCCTGCAGCTCAAACCTCCTAACAATCTGGAACTGCCCTTTCAGGGGGAGGAGATACAATGGTTTCCTTCTGCTTGAGTGACTCACACATTTCTTCAAAATCAGAACTAACTTATGAGAAGTCCTCCTCCTGACAGTAAGTGCTTGGTGCAATTATGTCCAGATCAAAAGCCCTTCTGGATCAGGTTTTCCACGGTCTTATGAAGTTTAACAAAGGGAAGTGTGTGGGTTGGGGCAACCCTGCATATATGGACAGACTGGGAAGAAAGAGACCGGAGAACAGTGCTGTGGAGAGGGACCTGGAGGTCTTGGTCAGTGCAAATTGGATATGAGTCAGCAGTGCCCTGGCAGCCAGGAGGGCCAACCATGTCCAAGGGGGCATCAGGCAAAGCACCACTGGCTGGGAAGGGAGGGGATTGTCCCTCTCTGCTCTGCACTGGGGCGGCCTCACCTCGAGTCCTGGGGGCAGTTTCGAGTGCTACAATATAAGAAAGGATTAGAGCTATTAGAGAGCATTCAGAGGAGGGACACGAAGATGGTGAAGGATCTAGAGAGGCCATACAAGGCGCAGCTGAGGTTGCTTTTATTGTTATATCACATTAACTTCTTGTAAACTATTGTGCAGTAACAATAAAAATGTGGGTCTGAGATATGTTTTCCTCATAAAAGGCATATACATTTTTTCTATTCTATGTCACTAGACTGGTTTCATGTCAAGTGATGTATGAGAAAAACAGGATGACATTTATTCTGAATAAGTAAATTAAAAAAAAATACAACAAAAAAAAACCCCAAACCCAAACAAGCAACCTCTCCCCCCAAAAAAAAAACAAAATCAAGGCAAATCAAGACAAAAAGTCGAAAACAAAAAGTCAGTATTGAAGAGTTCCCAAATTATGAAGAATGAAGGCGATGGTGTCTGAAGAGTGTTTTTTCCAAGGCCTTCTGGAACGCCTTGTTTCTCAAGCTGTAGATGACTGGGTTCAGAAGGGGTGTGACCACGGTGTAGAGCACAGCAACAGCTTTATTGAGGTCTGAGGAGAGGCCGTAGGTGGGACGGACATATATGAAAATCGTTGTACCATAGTATATAGTCACCACCATGAGGTGTGAGCTGCAGGTGGAGAAGGTTACTCTTTTTCCAGAAGCAGAGGGTATCTTCAGGATGGTAAGGATTATAAAGAGGTATGAAACCAGAGTCAAAAGAAAGCAGCTGGGAAGGACCAGGAGAGAGATCATGAAGATGACAGCTTCTGTGACAGTGGTGTCTGAGCATGAGAGCTTCAACAGCGGAGAGATATCACAGAAGAAGTGATCAATGAGGTTGTAGCTGCAAAAATGCAACCTGGAGATCATCAGGCAGGGCAGAACACCAGTGAAAACACCAGTGACCCAGGAGCCCACAGCCAGACGTGTGTAACACTCATCAGTCATGACCACACTGTACTGCAGGGGCTGACAGACCGCGAGGAATCGGTCGTATGCCATCGCTGCCAAGAGGTAGCATTCAGTAATTCCCAGGGAAACGAAATAGTAAAGCTGTGCCATGCATCCTGAGAAAGAGATGCTCTTCCTCTTTGCCAGCAGATTGGACAACATCTTAGGAACAATTGTGGTGGTGTAACAGACTTCCAGGAAAGAAAGGTTCTGGAGAAATCTGAACATGGGTGAATGAAGTTTTGGCTCCAGTTTCACCACCAATATAATAATGATGTTTCCTAAGATGGTGAGAATATAAATAACCATAACCACCATGAATAGCAAGATCTGACAGTATGGGTTGCTGCTGAAGCCCAGTAGCTTGAATTCCAGCACTGCTGTAACATTTGTCATCTCTCAGAAAGAGCTAGGATTTGTCTGCTAAGGAAAATATCAGTATCAGAATATGATAACTTTCAGTGGTTAAAATTTATAAAGATTAGGATTCTCAAATAAAACTTTGGGAACAGCATCAAAATCACTACCAGTTCTGTCCTTTTCACCCTGTACTTTCCTGGACTCTTTCTCTCATGAAATGTAAGTTTTAACACGTATTTCATAAACTTGACACTGACAGTTATAGAATACATTGCAAATAGTCCAGTTGCACACAAATATATGTATAAGAAAGTGCACAAATATATAAAGGTATAATTTATACTAATCAATACCATAAAATTATATACTTACAGGTATACAGTTTATGAACTTAGACACACACACACCAAGGATCTGCTTTCTGCTGGAAGAAATAAAAACTTATATACATAATCAACAGTGATTATTGCATTGAATATTCCACTCGTTAATGCACACATGGTTTTTTTCATAAAAATGTAGGTAATTATTTGCATGGTCCATACACATATAAGGGTACAAATAAGAATCCTCTCAAAATGTTCTCTCATGAAGGACAGCAAACTTTCACAAGGATTAATCAGCAAACTATTATTTCTTGTTAAATGCTTTGAGTGAAGATATAATTTCCACCTCAAGAACAGAAACAATAGAGAATAATCTTTTACTAGCCATTGATTAAGAGCATTGATTAAGAACTCCATTTTCCATGTTCAAAATAATGCTGATACACATGGCAGTGGTACCTGGTTACTTACAGATGAAACAATGCACATAATATTCAGCATGTGTCCAATTTTTCCAGAGCTGTTTTCCAAGCTGTGAATGCATTAGGTGCAAGTAGGTTTCAATCTGCATTCAGGCCCTTGTCTAAGGGTGTATGCATCAGTAACTTTGTTATTTTTGGGAGTTAAGGCACAATTAATGTCAGTATCAGAAATATTAATTAATTATCTGGTACTCTGTAGTTTGAGTCCTATTACTAAACCCTTACACTGACTAAAACATCATCTTGGATAGAAACACTTTCAAAGTGACCTCCCTCTTGGTCAATCTCGGCTTTCACAGAGACACAGAGACAGAGATAAAAGCTGAACTGTACCAAGCATGGATTTCAAACCTTGCTAATGATCTCTGAGGATTAATGCCATGGGTGGAGACACTCCATGGGGCACAATAGCAACAAGGGACTGATGATACATGTGCAAGGGAGACCTTGTTAGTAAGAGAAGGAAAAAAAATCAGTGAAGTCCTGATGAAACTGAACCACTTCGGTCTCTTTTCTTGCTGTAGAATATTTTTTGTAGCTGTAACAATATCCACAACCCACTCACACTTTTGTTACCTCAGCAAAAATACTGCCAGTGTTACTGAGAGGAAATGATTCCCAAGTGATAGAAACCCTATTGTTCCTGTTCACCATAACTTCACTGTCTGCCTTTCCCCAGAGAGCACCTGCCATCCTCTTCTGCTTGGACACTTGGTAGAAGACCAAGAGGGAGTCCATTCAAAAGTGACTGGCCCGCAAATGAGACAAGGGCAGAGTGGAATGGCTGAGCAGGAGCCTGTGCATCAACCAGTAGAGAAAATCTCCAGCCCCCCGGCACACACTGGCCAGGGGCAGTTGCAATTTCAGGAGAAAGAAACACAAGGAGACTCGGGCTGTGATGAAGCATTGCTTTAATGCAAACAGAAAGGGCTTTGGGAGAGGAGGGGGAAGAGTGCTGAGCACGAGAGGGAGAGGGCTCCACAGGACATCACCCCTTGCAGCAGCGGGATGCAGAGCACCTGCAAGGCGCTCCTTTCTCCCCATCACAGCTAGAGCTGGTGAGAATCGCCCCCCATCCACAGCAAGGGCAGGGGAAGTGCTTTGCCTTGGTCAGGGCAAAAGCTCCGGAGCCTGGGAGGGAGGGAGGGTGAGGGTCTAGCTGAGGATAACAAGGAAAGCATAGGAAGATTAAGAGCAAGAAGTGCACAATGTCAAGGGATGACACACGGCTCCTGTGCGTGGAGGGGAAGAGGCAGGAGCCCCACACACTGTGAAACCACAGGCATCTCCCCCATCCTGGATCCAGATCTCGTTTGTTCGTTCCTGGTCGTCCTTCCCAACATGAGGGATCCACCGTCCCTACCAGCAGGGATTGCACAAACGCAGGGACCCACAGAGACCGCTCCCAAGGCCTGCAAATCTCCCAAATCCAAGGGAGCCCCCAGAAGAGATGGGAACCCCCGCAGAGCTGAGGTTGCTGCCAACAGCAGCTGACAGAGAGGATCCCACGGCTGTGCTCTGAGGGAAGGAGGTGAGGATGGGGCCCGGCATGGTCACCACCACCGGGGAGGGCTCGATGTACACGGTGGAGTCAGCGCAGCGCTGGACACAGGGCTCGTTGCAGCTGCTTGCAAGGGGAGCTGGGCCGCAGGGGCCACAGGGACATGGGGGACAGGGTCTGTAGCAAGACATCTCTGGGTGAAGGAGGCAGAGCTGGAACACAGAGCAGGGCGTGAGCATGACATGGAAGCTGAGGGGAGACAACAGATCAGAACATCAAGTGCCTGTGCAAAGAGCCCGGTGCGGTTCAGACTTACCTGGCTGACAGGGGAGATGGCAGCGAGGGCAGTGGATGGCAGCTGTGGAGACACAGGGACTTTTATACCCTGTCTCCAAAGCCTTGGGGGGCCCAAAGCATTCTTTTTGCATGAAGCATTCTCCTGACTTGCAGTATTTGCTTGCAACGTGCTCCTGGATGTTTACACATTTCCCCCTTTCATCAGACAGGGTTTGCTCCCATTGAACACGTGGGCAAGAATAAAGGTGCCCTTTGAAGTTCATCAATCGTTATGCTGCTTCTTAAAGCCACGGGTCTTGTTGTCCATCTTGTCTAGGCTGCCCGCAGAAACACACAGCGGCATTGCTGGCCACGCACATTCCTGGGGCACGGTCTCCACCACCGCCCTTCCACACCACACACTGACCTCAGGCACTCAGGAGTTCAGCACCTGAAGCACCCCACCTGTTGACATATGCCTTCACTGTGGCCTGTGGTTATCAGTCCTTGTGGCTCACCCACTGTCCAAGTCATATGGACATCAGCAAAACATCAAAGGGTAGGCCAAAGAGCTGAACTGCTCACTCTCATGAGGACTGTCCAGCTGTTTCACTCCTGGATGGGAAAGGTGTTATTCCTAGACAATATAACCATTGTTTTTCTTCTTCCCACTGGGCATATGAGTTCAGCTGAGAGAGTTTGTTGTTTACTGAAAAACAAGTCTATGAAAGGTATGTTCGAAGAGCCTTATGACTCCTTGTCTGAGACTGAGCCAAGCCAAAATGGCTTTGTTTTTCTCCTCATGCTCATCCTGGAGGCAAACAGCCTCTCTGAGATGTGGGAAAGACTAGGAACCAGAGCTCTGAGGTGCTTCTGTTGTGTAAGGATCAGAAGAAACAGTTCCTGTACTGGGTGCAGAAGAGTGCAAGAGCTGGGCAGAGGATGGGTCAAAAAAGATTCTGGTGGATCATTGCCCAAATGTCTAAAGACAACTGCAAAGCCAATGAGTCTCTGCTGGGCAGGCCAAGGCCCTGAGCCGGAACCAACATTGAGGTGTCTTCAGGTGCTGAACTCCTGAGTGCCTGAGGTCAGTGTGTGGTGTGGAAGGGCGGTGGTGGAGACCGTGCCCCAGGAATGTGCGTGGCCAGCAATGCCGCTGTGTGTTTCTGCGGGCAGCCTAGACAAGATGGACAACAAGACCCGTGGCTTTAAGAAGCAGCATAACGACTGATGAACTTCAAAGGGCACCTTTATTCTTGCCCACGTGTTCAATGGGAGCAAACCCTGTCTGATGAAAGGGGGAAATGTGTAAACATCCAGGAGCACGTTGCAAGCAAATACTGCAAGTCAGGAGAATGCTTCATGCAAAAAGAATGCTTTGGGCCCCCCAAGGCTTTGGAGACAGGGTATAAAAGTCCCTGTGTCTCCACAGCTGCCATCCACTGCCCTCGCTGCCATCTCCCCTGTCAGCCAGGTAAGTCTGAACCGCACCGGGCTCTTTGCACAGGCACTTGATGTTCTGATCTGTTGTCTCCCCTCAGCTTCCATGTCATGCTCACGCCCTGCTCTGTGTTCCAGCTCTGCCTCCTTCACCCAGAGATGTCTTGCTACAGACCCTGTCCCCCATGTCCCTGTGGCCCCTGCGGCCCAGCTCCCCTTGCAAGCAGCTGCAACGAGCCCTGTGTCCAGCGCTGCGCTGACTCCACCGTGTACATCGAGCCCTCCCCGGTGGTGGTGACCATGCCGGGCCCCATCCTCACCTCCTTCCCTCAGAGCACAGCCGTGGGATCCTCTCTGTCAGCTGCTGTTGGCAGCAACCTCAGCTCTGCGGGGGTTCCCATCTCTTCTGGGGGCTCCCTTGGATTTGGGAGATTTGCAGGCCTTGGGAGCGGTCTCTGTGGGTCCCTGCGTTTGTGCAATCCCTGCTGGTAGGGACGGTGGATCCCTCATGTTGGGAAGGACGACCAGGAACGAACAAACGAGATCTGGATCCAGGATGGGGGAGATGCCTGTGGTTTCACAGTGTGTGGGGCTCCTGCCTCTTCCCCTCCACGCACAGGAGCCGTGTGTCATCCCTTGACATTGTGCACTTCTTGCTCTTAATCTTCCTATGCTTTCCTTGTTATCCTCAGCTAGCCCCTCACCCTCCCTCCCTCCCAGGCTCCGGAGCTTTTGCCCTGACCAAGGCAAAGCACTTCCCCTGCCCTTGCTGTGGATGGGGGGCGATTCTCACCAGCTCTAGCTGTGATGGGGAGAAAGGAGCGCCTTGCAGGTGCTCTGCATCCCGCTGCTGCAAGGGGTGATGTCCTGTGGAGCCCTCTCCCTCTCGTGCTCAGCACTCTTCCCCCTCCTCTCCCAAAGCCCTTTCTGTTTGCATTAAAGCAATGCTTCATCACAGCCCGAGTCTTCTTGTGTTTCTTTCTCCTGAAATTGCAACTGCCCCTGGCCAGTGTGTGCCGGGGGGCTGGAGATTTTCTCTACTGGTTGATGCACAGGCTCCTGCTCAGCCATTCCACTCTGCCCTTGT